TTTCGATTAAGGAAATTGTTAATTTAAAAAAATTCTGCTGTTTTGAAAGCTTTGCGAATGTATGCTAATCAATTCTGACATGAGAAAACTTGAAGTTTTATCTTCTATAATATTCGAACAAAATAAACTTTCAATATTTCATTAGAGAGATAATTTTAAGGCAGAGCTTTCAAGAGATCAAACGCCCAGTTGATTTCATAGGATAAGATAAGAAATTTAAATAATTAAGTATATCAATTATAAATTATTGTAAATCTTATTATTATTTATTTTAAATAATTCAATTTTCAGTTGATAAATTACATTTTATTGATGTATTTTGTTTGATTGCTAGTATATTTTTGAAAAATTATTTAAAGCAAATTTTTAAAAAGTTTGATTTTTAACCCTTCTAAGAAATTTAATAAATTGTAAAATTAGATAAATTTCACATATAAAAGCCCTCTATAACATAAAGAAATAATGAGATTTGGAGAGCACAGAAATAAAATTAATTTTTCAGTTTTTTCCTCTCAAAAGAAAAAGTCGCACCATACTCTATTTTAGAACAACTATAAACCTTATTTCAACATTATCAGGTATTTAGGGTAGGCATCGCCCTATCCATACAAGAGGTAAGAGAAGAGAAATAATTTTTTAGGGAGATGGTAAAGCAAAAAATTAATATCAAGGCGAATTATAGTAATTATTAGAATAAATAAGACAATAATGAAATTTAAATAAATAAATTAGAAATTTATCTTTTCAATAAAATCAAAATCATTGGATATTACTCTAGTATTAAAATCAATATCGAATTTTAAAGCTGTTTTAAATCCAATAAGGATGACTAAAAACACTAAGGATTGAGCAAAATTTTTGTAAGAATTATTTCTTTTTTTTAATATTAAACTGAAAAAATTACCATGATTATGTCAAAATAGGATTAAATAGAAAAATGAATGATCATAAATAATAAAGTGATTATTAATAAATATAATTATTCATATAAAAATTGGTTTTTCTATATTATTAAAGAATCAAGAAATGCTAATGTAGAATTAACTTCTCAATAGCAGATTTTACCTCAATTACAATCAGTTCCAAATCTACAGAAAGATTTAACTTCTAATTTACAAAAATATAAAAGATACTTTTGCAATATATTGTATAAAACTAAGAAAAAAGTAATAGAAATTAGTATTATTTAATATAAGATTATGAATTGCAGATTTCATCCACAAACTCCAATATCTTTAATATGTACGGCTCCTCACATATGTGAAATCGACAGAAAAATGTGCGTTGAATGCCAATAAGATCATGGAATTGAGGTGAAACAAACAATTCCTATTAATAAGTTTCGATAAATGCTTAATGGAAAAGTGAAAGATTACAAACTGGATGATACATAAGAATTAAATAAATAGAGACTAGATTTTAAATAGATGCTTTCTAAAGCTGTAGAAATGTTGAAATAGTTATGGGAAGAATTATCAGAATCAATCAGAAAGATTTTTGAGATGATTGAAAAAGAAAATAAATCTTTGACTGATCTCATAACCTAAAATGAAAATTTGACAGAATCTTCTTATTCTGACTTGGAAAAACTTGTGTAACTACTGAATGGCAAAATTGTCGATAATTTGAATAATAAAAAGAATTCCATCATAACTAAAGTTGAGAANTAGTAAGAAATACTATTTTTCCAATTGAATGTAAAGATGGATGTTCAATTTGCAAGAAAAATTTTGGAAAATCGAATTATTTTCATATTAAAAATTGATATTAACTACTACAAAATACCTACTAGAGTCCAGATTACAAAGTTAGGATTTACGAGAAAGTTTTAAGATATATAATTTGTAAATTAAATAATACATCTTTTGTTGTTTTTCTCATATTTGAGTAGGAAAATTATTATTGATAATCTTATAAATAAGTTTTGTTAATTTTATACTTCATAAGTTATCTAATCAAATATTAACTTAAATAATTTTGCATATATATATTACTATCAATAATGTCGATATTCAGAACTCTTATTTTTTAGAGTCAAGATTTATATATAGTTATGGAAATTCTGATATAAAAATAACAAAATTTTAACTTATTAATTGTTAAATTAGTGCTTCAAGATTTATTTCTTTTAGTAAGGACTTTTACTTTAATGATATTTTATTGGAGGATAATCTGATTTAAGAAACTTAATTAATTGATAATTTAATTATAATCAAATGAAAGAAATTCTATAATTGGAATTGAAAATTTTATGATTTTAAAGAATAAAATTATAAACTCTGCAGTTGTCATTACTGGATAAAGTTTAGAGTAAAATGAAGTTTATTTTAATTTTAGAATTTTAAATTAAAACGAAAAAGTTGCTTTTAAATTTGATTGCTACCAAAGTAGTGCAATAAAATCATAATTATTATCAGTTTAAGAGTTTTAGAGAATTAGTTTGGATTAAATAAAAATAGTAAATTAATTGAGGATAGATTTATCAATTATTTCAATACAATCTAATTCTAAAATTATGTTAAATACCAATGATTATGTAATCATACATAATATGTCTTTTATTGGAAATATACTTCTTAAATAAAGTTAAACTATGTATTTTTCCTTAATTGATATCTATTCAGAAATAACTTAAATTGTTACTTTAGAAATTATCATCTATTATTATAATATTTTTGACTAATACTAAATTGATCCATCTTAAAATTCTGCTAGTCTAATGTAAATTAATGCAGGCTAAAGTAATTTATCATTGAAAAATATCATTAGTTCTCACAATGTCTTAACCAACTCTTTATATACTTTTATCTCTATTTCTATACATGAACTTTATATATAAAACTTTTAAATAATAAATCATATTTACTTAAATGCTGACTTATGGAATTAATATTATTAACTATAAATTTAGAGTGAACCTACATAGAGCCAAATTATTTCTATAATTAATAATATATTTAAAATAGAATCATTAAGTGGAGTTCTATTAATTAAAACATCGAAATTGAACTTTATTAATGGGTTTTTCAGTAATATAATCGCATCAAGTAGTTTAATTTTCAATATTAATCTCTAAGGTGATGGAATTGTTATTATAAAAAATTGCTATATTGAAAATGATTAAAGTTAATTGATTTTAACATCTTAAGATGATGAAGCAATTACTTTTGATGCTAAAAAAAAGCCTATTATCACTTGTAATTGAAAATTTAAACTTAAAATACATATAAAATAGAATATCATCATCTATATTTTCAATCTATCCATCATCTATAAAGAATAACATTTAATTAAAACAAATTTATTGGTATAATAGCTTTTCACTTTATAATCAATTTATATCTTTAGAGTTCAATTTTAATAATCCTCAAAAACCAATTTTCAATATTAATTTACTTATAATTTAATCAGAAAATGAATTTATAAATTATTTATAATTTTTAGGAAAAGTAAGCATTTTTTCGAAGTCTAAAATATTTTAGAAAACAAAGCAATAATACATTTAACTGGAGGATAGTTTTCTCTTAAGGGAATCATAATTGAAGGATTAGTATTATCTTAAATTATCAAAATAATTGATTATCAATCAATCTAAATTACAGATTCTTAATCTTTTAATATATCAACATTTTATCCATAGAATTTAATAGAATTTTCTTAAATTAATGAAGTTTAATCAATGCTAAAAATGAATAACATTTCAATAAGAAATGTAAATTCATTTTAAGTCAATAAATACTAATTAAATTATATCATTATTAAAATTAATTCAATTTCTAATCAAATATCTTAATAATTTTTTTATTGACTGTAAATGAAATAAATGAAGGATTGGAGTCAACCAATAATTTTTTTGATCAGTTCTAGCAGAACTCTTAACAATGGGGTTCTTTGATTTATTTTAGGAACTTCACAAACTAAACTCAAATGATGATAAGATAAATTTTAATTGAAAATAATGACTGTTAAAATTGTTGGAATGGTTTAATGTCTTTTGATTTGGCAAAAATAAAATTTATTACAAAATTTATGTATAAGGAACTTTATTAAAAGATATGGATGTATTCTAGCAATATCAGAGAAAAATTTAGATAGAGAAATTAAAATTTTAAATTTAAACTTTATTTCAAATAATGGAACTAAAGGAACAGAAGTTTAAGTTTAAAATTTAAGAATTTCTATGCAAAATTCTAGAATAATTAATAATTTTGCATTTGACAGAGGAGAAGGAATTAATTTTAACCTAAATTCTAATAGATTTTTACTAAATTAAATCATAATTTGCTAGAATTCAGCCTTAGAAAGAAGTGGCATATTTCTGTAGGGAAATAGCAGTTTAAATCTAGAAAATTTTTCTTAAATCACTTAATTTATATCATTCTGCTACTTTATCTTCAATAATATAAATGAGTGACCTTCCCATTTAGACTTATATATTAATTATTAAGAATGCATTCTATTGAATAGAAAATTGATTATTAATCAATTCATACTCTAGTACTAAACTAACTTAGAAAAAAATACAAAGAACAAATTTTTTAACTCTACCAAGTGGTTAAGATTTATCTAATTTTCAACTATTTAATACATAATATTTAAAAATAGTATTAAAGAAATAATTTATTTATGTACACCGTAAATTATTAAAAAATGGACATCTGTTTTCACAATTAAATTTCATAATATCTTATTTTCTGTACTTTATGGTGAATCTCTATAAAAGAATGCTTATACAGAATAATAAATTTTATATTTAAATTAATGAACTTTTAAAATTAAAATACATAAATTGAATAAGAGTCAAACATATAGAAAAATTGCTAAAAAGAAATTGAAGTAGAATACTGGGATTAACTTCAACATTATTTTGTAAAAGCAAAGATTTAAATTAATTTTTTAGAGACTAATTATATATAATATTAAATGGATGATTTAATATTGAGAAAGTAAATTATAACTTATAAGATCTACAAGGGAATTAATTTTTAATGACATAAAAAACCCAGAAATCTTGAAAAATATAGAATAAATTAAGTATCTTTCATGGTACGGAGAGTATGATCAAAATAAAAGGAAAATTGGAAAGTGGAAAGCTTATTGGAATGGAAATGAATTACGAGATGTCGGGGGGTATTACTAGAATGGATTAAAATAAGGTTTATGGAAAGAGTTATTTAAGAATTATTGGAAGTAAATATTAAATAATAATAAATTAATAGCTAAGCATAGGTATATGAAATTGGAGAATATTTTAATGATTAAAAAAGAGGGAGATGGAATTTTATCTATGAAAATAAAAAGATGTATTATTATTAATAAAAGGTAGTGGTTTTGGATCATACAAAGAGCAAGGTTTAAAGGAAGGGAAGTGGAAAGAGTTGAGTGATAAATTTTGGGAAGGATCATAAGTTACTTATGATGGTGAATATCAAAATGGCAAGAAAGTTGGCAAATGGGATATTTAGTATTAGAACACCCACGATAATAAATAGATGTAAGAATTATAAATTTATTTTAGCGGTGGTGGATTCTATCATCAAGGACCTAACGAGATTAAGATTGGGACATGGATTGAAATAAGTAATGGGTTTTGGAGAGATTAATAAATCACCAATAAAGGATTGTATAAATATGGGAAAAAGGTTGGTTTATGGGATATTTGGTATCAAATCAATTTTGGTATAAAAAAATATTTCAAGATGTAAAAAATTATGGGTAAACGACATAGTGGTGATGGATCATATGATGAAGAAGGAGACGAAATCAAAAATGGAAAATGGATTGAATTGAGTGATGGATTTAGAGATTACTCATAAATTATTCATAAAGGTAATTATAAAAATGGAAAAAAAATTGGTAGATGGAATATTTTTTTTAGAAAATAGTTTGATGATGAATATAAATTGATGTAAAACTATAATGTAATTAAATTTTTTGTTAGCGGTGGCGGATAATATGATACAGAAGGTAATGGAATCAAATCCGGAGAATGGGTTGAATAGATTGAAAATTTTAAATGGGATTCTTAAGTTACTTATCAAGGTAATTATAAAAATGGAAAAAAAATTGGTAGATGGAATATTTTGTTTAGAAAGTAGAACGAAGATTAATCGAAATAAATGTAAAAACTATTAAAAAGTATATTTAGCGGTGGTGGATCATATGATGAAATAGGGGATGAATTTAAATAGGGTAATTGGGTGGAAATATCTGACAATTTTAACTTTTTTTTTTAAGTAACTTCTAGCGGTGAATATAATAAGAGTTAAAAAATTGGAAATTGGGTGGTGATGGATTTATATAATAATAAGGAAAGTGGTGAAATGAAATTTGAAAATGAGATAGAAAGATAGTTTATTAAATAATAATGATAATTATTTAAGCATAAATATAGAATATATTTATAATTTTTCTTTTGACTTTGCTACACTTTTGTTTGTTTATTTTTTTTATTGTAATTCTTGTTTTGATAGATTGTTTTTTTTTGCTATTTGTCCTTAACATTTATTTTTGCTTAGTTTTACTAAACTTATTAGTTCAGCAGTAAAGTAAATCTACATTTAGCTGATTTTTTAAAGCAAAATGAAATTCATCGATGAAAAGATAACAATTTGCAGAATCTGAAAAGTTTTAGTAATTAGAACGATTCCCATTTTTATTGTCCCAATATCAACTTAATTTTTTGAATATCCTTTTTTCTTTATTATCATGATATTGTTTGGTTGTGTAAAGTAAGACAACCTGATCATAGTGAAGGTCTAGCCAAGAAAAAAAGAGCTTAGGTGAGATTATAAGGATATTGTTTTTTGTCATCTGGGAAATTTTGCTCGGCTATACTCTTTTCTAAAAAGAAAATTAGTAAAGGATCATTTCCAGTTATCTGCAATTTATTTATTAATTGTTGTATATATTGAGTACTATCTGATGTTATCATCTATTAAGAAGTAATCTAATTTCATCAAAATTTGAATGGGTTAGGTGGAAGCTACCAAATTATTTTTTTAAGACGAAAACATTCAAATACTGAGGGTATATTTTGTAAAAATGAAAAAAAAAAATATATTTTATCTGGAAGATTAATTATCATGTTGACTTTTGTAAAATCAATCTTATTGGATAATAAGTTTTTATTCAAAGAAGTTAATGTAATGTTTTTTGAAATTGCTCTCTTTCCCATTTCAAAAAGGTTAAATTCAATTTCTTTTACAGCTATGATTGCAAATACTGCAATCATTCTTTGGTCCTTGGTTTAAAAATAGGATAATTATTTAGAAATTATCTCTATCAAAAGAGTCTTAATACTCTTCTGCTAGGTTGAAGGAACTCTAAATGACTTTAATATTCAAAAGATTATGTTCCTCTATCAACCCAATTTAAGAAGAAAATCATTTTACAGGTACCATATTACCCTTTATTGTTGGATTTCTAAGAAAAAAGGAACTTTTATAATTATTGCTTGAGTTTCTTTGAATTAATTTTTTAAAGTTTTCCCTCAAAGATGAAAGAAGAAAAAACAAACAGAAACTTAAGTAATATAAAACGACTACATTATGATTAAAAAAATATATAAAAAGGAATTATGGATTCATTTGAATCATAATACTCAGACGAAACCCAATTTTTTCTTTTGAAGAACAATAGAAAAATCATCTTTAATTCTTGTAATTAAATCTATAGGAGTACAAAAATTTTGTAAATTATCTATATAAAAATATAAAAATCGACAATTTTATTTCAAATTGGATTTATGTAATATTCCTGTTTCTTTCAGAATTTAATAAGTAGATAATTAGATTATCAATATAAAAAGTTTTTAATGTTATTGTGATATCTATAAACTTACTATTTCTCAAAAGCAAAACGATTTAATAGCTCAATCAAGAGACTTTAAATCTTTTAAACAATATAAGAATTATGTACATATGCATTGAGGATTTTATATAAAAGATGAATAAGTAAACTTTGAATACAACAAATATTAGGTTAAGAACATTATGTAAAATTAGTTGACAAATATAATAAATAAATCTTAGATCAAAACTGTAATCCCTAATTTCTTCGAGATTGGTACCCCATAATAAAATTACTCCAGCACTTACTCACTAGTTAATAAATTAGACAGAATATAATAAGATTTTAGAAAAAATGCACCCATAGCAATAATGTTCTAAATTGGCTTCTTGTCATAATTTGTTCTTAAAAAATAGATGCACTCATAAGAACTCTAAGATATTCCCGCAAAAAAATAAAGACTGAATTAAAGGATCTATTCAAAACTTAAAATATAGTCTATAGTATTGTAATTTTCAATTTCTTCTAGTAAATATAAAATTTCTAGAAAATTATTTTTAAGAAAAACATCATACCCTTAGATTGTTAATCCTAAAGTGTTATTTTTAAGAAAAAATAATTTTAAAATTGGAGCTTCTTTATAGCCTGATATCTATTTTGATCAAAAAATTATTTATACTATTGAATAGGTTATAAATGATTCATTGATTTAGCAGTACATAATCATTGTAAGATCATTAGTAATTAATATAAGGAATACTCGTGACTATAGAGAATATAATTTCTTCAAATATCTTGAATAGTTATTTTAATAAGAATGATATTAAGACACATTAAGTTTTTATTTTATTAAAAGAAATCAAAATAATATTTAATTAATTCTAATTTATACTTAATGAGATACAAAAACATTCTTAACCTTTGCCTATTATTTATGAATGAGTTTATTTATTAATTTCATCTATTTATTACCATAGAAAAGATGGAAGATTTCAAAAATAATGAATTTTTACAAGAAATTTCAATCCTGAAATCAAATAATCTGCTAATCTTAATTTATATATATATAATACTTATAAATTTATGAAATTTTATTAATAACATTTTATTAATTTTTCAATTTAGAAAACTTAAAAGTTATAACCTATCCATAATTCCATTTTTTATCAATACTTTAGGAGCTGTAATAGGATTCTTGAAGCCAAGTTTAATTTAGAGATATGATTTTATAAAGTTTTTTTTATGATTAACCAAAAATAATAAGGCTAATAAAATTTTTCATTAAGAATCAAATATAATAGTATTTTTATAATTGAAAATAGATTAAATGTATTAATAAAATCATTTAAAGTTTATCTTTACTAAATTTACCTTCTGCATTATCAGATTATGTTGATTAAATGCTAATTTAATATTTCTTATCTAATCCTTTAATAAAAGTTAGTTCCAATTAGAAGTGGACAATTTAATTAGAAGCTATATCTTATTTATTTTCAAGTTCTAAAACTTTTGATTAGGCATATAATTATTTTAGATTAATAGAATAANAGCTCAATCAAGAGACTTTAAATCTTTTAAACAATATAAGAATTATGTACATATGCATTGAGGATTTTATATAAAAGATGAATAAGTAAACTTTGAATACAACAAATATTAGGTTAAGAACATTATGTAAAATTAGTTGACAAATATAATAAATAAATCTTAGATCAAAACTGTAATCCCTAATTTCTTCGAGATTGGTACCCCATAATAAAATTACTCCAGCACTTACTCACTAGTTAATAAATTAGACAGAATATAATAAGATTTTAGAAAAAATGCACCCATAGCAATAATGTTCTAAATTGGCTTCTTGTCATAATTTGTTCTTAAAAAATAGATGCACTCATAAGAACTCTAAGATATTCCCGCAAAAAAATAAAGACTGAATTAAAGGATCTATTCAAAACTTAAAATATAGTCTATAGTATTGTAATTTTCAATTTCTTCTAGTAAATATAAAATTTCTAGAAAATTATTTTTAAGAAAAACATCATACCCTTAGATTGTTAATCCTAAAGTGTTATTTTTAAGAAAAAATAATTTTAAAATTGGAGCTTCTTTATAGCCTGATATCTATTTTGATCAAAAAATTATTTATACTATTGAATAGGTTATAAATGATTCATTGATTTAGCAGTACATAATCATTGTAAGATCATTAGTAATTAATATAAGGAATACTCGTGACTATAGAGAATATAATTTCTTCAAATATCTTGAATAGTTATTTTAATAAGAATGATATTAAGACACATTAAGTTTTTATTTTATTAAAAGAAATCAAAATAATATTTAATTAATTCTAATTTATACTTAATGAGATACAAAAACATTCTTAACCTTTGCCTATTATTTATGAATGAGTTTATTTATTAATTTCATCTATTTATTACCATAGAAAAGATGGAAGATTTCAAAAATAATGAATTTTTACAAGAAATTTCAATCCTGAAATCAAATAATCTGCTAATCTTAATTTATATATATATAATACTTATAAATTTATGAAATTTTATTAATAACATTTTATTAATTTTTCAATTTAGAAAACTTAAAAGTTATAACCTATCCATAATTCCATTTTTTATCAATACTTTAGGAGCTGTAATAGGATTCTTGAAGCCAAGTTTAATTTAGAGATATGATTTTATAAAGTTTTTTTTATGATTAACCAAAAATAATAAGGCTAATAAAATTTTTCATTAAGAATCAAATATAATAGTATTTTTATAATTGAAAATAGATTAAATGTATTAATAAAATCATTTAAAGTTTATCTTTACTAAATTTACCTTCTGCATTATCAGATTATGTTGATTAAATGCTAATTTAATATTTCTTATCTAATCCTTTAATAAAAGTTAGTTCCAATTAGAAGTGGACAATTTAATTAGAAGCTATATCTTATTTATTTTCAAGTTCTAAAACTTTTGATTAGGCATATAATTATTTTAGATTAATAGAATAATAATTAAAATCTACTCAAGTGTTAATATATTTTTAAGATTATATGCAATTTCTAGAATAAATACTGATGAAGATAATATTAATCCATTTATTTAAAAACATTTGAAGTTTTAACTCATAGAAAATTCAAGACTTATTCAAAAATAATTAAAAAAAAAATTTATAAATTTCCATTTTAAGTTTAAAATAATTAATAAAATAATAAATTTCAATATTGATCTGATTCATATTAAACTAATCAAAGTGGAAATTGGATATTCTTTTATTATTTTCTCTCTAACTTCAATTTTTTTTTTTGGTAATTAGCATATAGCTTACCTAAAAATTCAATCATATCTATAAATAGATTTATACCTAATATGGTTGAGAGCATTGAAATATGGATCCAACCGCAGATTAAGTATTATTCTTCAGTTAAATTAAAACTGTAAATTAAAAATGAGCCGACAGTTGTAAGGAAAATGAATTCTCTCAAAATTAATTTGATATATTCACTTTATGATTTTAATGGCTATACTTTATATAAATAAAGTAAGTAAATTAAGGATTGAAGGGAGAGCAAAATAGTTTATATTTCAGGTTGATTCATAAAGAACACAATTAGAAAAATATAAATGGTAACACGATACAATTAGAATGATTTATAATTGGAAGCCCAAAATTAAGACTTTGATTCCTCAAAAAAAAACTTCCATTTATTTACATTTTTAATTTATTAGGAAGTAATAGAAAGTGATTTAAAATTAATAAAAATTATCAAACCAATAGCAAATAGAGAATTAATTGAATTTAGAGCTTCAAAAAATGATTCAAAACTATAGTTTGGAAATTGCATAAAGGTACTAAAGAGAAATTAATGAAGTATTGTAAGGTATACCTAAAATATAGTTTTAGAAAAGTATTCAAACTTCATTTTTAAACATTTTTACTGGATTTTTCTTTAAAATAATCCTATTACTTGTAAATATTTAATATTTTCATATTTTAATTAGGTCAGTTTATTAAGGAAATAATCAATTTATTATGATGTTATTATTTTATACATTAAATAGGTAAGATATGAAGTTAAAACTGTAATATAACAACTTTTTGCATTGACCAAAAATATTTGATTTATTTAATTGATCTGATTTGTTTATAAGGTTGTATTTTTTGATTAAGGATAATTTCCTCTGTTTAATTAGGCTAAAAATTAATCTACTTTTAAGTAATCTAATGCTAATTTTAAAGAAATTTTAGAGTAAGTTTCAAGAAATTGTGATAAATGAGGTGGGAATTGATATTGTACATATCGAATGTAAGAAAATGATTATAGTAAATTTAATAGATTAAAGAACATTTCTGGATTTCCAATTAAAAATGATAATGCAGATATACTTATCATTGTATACATAATTGCATCATTCATCGATACGATTTATGTTAATTTTTTTTTTGTAGAGTTTGATAAGACAAAAGGATTTCCTATTTAAATACTTTTCTAAACACTTTTGATGGTAATATTTTCAGAATTAATTATTGATTCATCCATAAACCTTAATGTAAAAATAGGATGATCTACACTTTATTCAAATTAAATATAAAATTGGTAATGAGACATATTTAATTCACTAGTTAAATTAGAAAATGGAATAATTGTTAATTGATATTTAGTTTCTGGTTTAATCTAAAAGTCAGCAATAGATTCAATTGTGTTATTTTAATTTAATTTAATCTACTAAGAAAAAGTTAGATCAATAATTTAAAGTGAATTCTATGAATTAGTGATTACATTTAAATGAAAATCAGGTGCTTGTATGTATGCACATTCACTTTTTTAGTTTTCAAGACTTTAACACTTAAAAGAAAGCTCATTGAAACATGATTCAGAACATCCATCTCCTCCAAGTAAGTTTCCATCATCACATTCTTCATTCAAACTAGTTTAAAGTTTACCATTACCACAATTCAATTCAAATTATTATTAATCACTTTAAAGTATTTGAATATAATCATCATTATTATTTGTATCTTCATTTTTAATAATTTGAATTTCCTCTGTATTTGATGAATCTTCTTTATTTATTAATTGAACTTCCTCATCTTAATAATCTTAAGTAAAGCATTTATGAGTTGTATGATCAAGAATAAATTGTTCTTCATTGTTACATTATAAACAAATATTATTTTCTTAACAAACCAAACATCCTTTACTACATGAATATTTACAATTATAGCATCCATCAAACTCAATTTAATTTCCATCATCACATTCTTCAAATCCTTATGTTAATAATCCATCACCACAAATATTTATGCATTTATTATTAACTAGATTGAATGTGTCATTACATATTATACATTATTATTGATTATCACAAAGCTTGCAATACTCATTGCATATAAAAATTTAACAATTTCTGCAATTTAAGTTTTAAGGATCATCACATTATTCTTCAGAGATAATTGCTACTTAACCATCACCACAAATCTAATTACATTTCCCTTATATTAAATTCCATCCAGATATACATTATACACATTTAGTATTTTAACACACAAGACACTCAATTTGACAACTATTTTAGCATTTATAGCATCCATCAAATTGAATATTATTATCGTCCTCACATATCTTATCAGATTTGATTAATTAATCTCTACATTTAGGATAACATCTATTTTCTTATATTGAAAATCCTTCAATGCATTAAATACATTACCCATATAAACATTATAAACAATTGATTGGACATTAAAATTTACAATTAAAACATATATGAGATTAATATGTCAATTTATCATCACATTCCTCATCCTGAGTTATTATACCATCACCACAAATTGGTATACATTAATTAAATACAAGAGGTAAATAATAACCAAGATTAGTAAGACAATATGTTTCAAATTTAAAAATATCTAATTGTTCTATAATTAGATTATTTTCTATTCTTAAATCATTAATATAACAAAAATTATTCAACAATATATATCCTTAATATATTAAATATTTGTATTGTTTCAATATATAAATAAGGAAAGAAATAAATAAGTCAAATGTATTTTTAATTATTTTTTACATTCTTAATACATAATATAATTTCTGATTGCATTAATTCTCTTTTTAATTTTTTACTATTATTGTAATCTAGTATAGTAAAATCATTCAAAAAATAAATTTTTCAATTTTATTAAATAGAATTAATTACCTAAAATTATTGAAACACGGTAAAAAATTTGCTTATTTTAGCAAATAATTAATTTTTAACCTTTAATAATTAATAATCTCTTTTTACTTATTTTAGCAATTCAGATTTATATCAATTTTTGTTAAATCAATTACTATTACAATCAATATGAAAATAATTTAGGAAAAGTTACAGGATTTTACAATCTATTAATTATTTAATAGGGCTAACTTAATATATAAATAGTTATAAATTTTGCAAAACGGTTTCTCTTCTTATGAGTATTTTAACTATTTTATAATTATCTATCTAAATAAATCTAGAAAAAATTATATATAATTTAAAATAGTGAAATATTTTAATCCATAATAAAAATTTTCTTGATTAAATAAAGATTATTAATAATTAACTAAAATTTGTAAATGATTAAGCACGTTTTGAAATGGATTTTAATGGAATGAAAGAGATACCAAATCAATATTATAATTATGAATATCAAACTCAAGATTAACATATAGTTTTGAATTTTAAATATAAATCTGATCACTATTTTTTATGATACTTGATTAGTATAAGGTTATATATTTAATTATAATTAATTTCTGCGATTTTTCAATGCAATTAATATATGATCGAATATATTCTTTTGTATATGTAAATAATTTTTAACAATTTATTTACTTTGAATCATCAATTACTTACTCTGTTTCATAATTCCTTATTCAATTATATTATATGGTTAAAGTTTCAACCTTCTTATAGTAATGTTATTAATGTTAATATCTTCTTAATTACATTTAATAAAAATTTATAAACAAAGTTAATCATCCCAAAAAGAAATAATATTACATTTATGGATAAAATAAAATACGACTTATAATTAACTTTT